TATACAGTGCTACAGGAGAAACAAAGGCAAAAAACCCAACCACAAAAGCAAAACCCAGCACCTTTATCCAAACCTAAAATTTGCTGAGTTTATGGCCTACAAGAGCTTTAAGATTACACAAACCACAAATTCATCAACAGAAAGTTTTGCGTTAAACAGGCCATAAAGAAGGCTTACTTTCCATGAAAGCTAAATAAATCCTGTTATTTCAAATTTCCATAGCAACAGAATCCAACTCACTAAGACAAGCAGAACTTAATGTGTATGCAAAGCTGAGCACACAAATACAATTTTCAAGAACTAGCAGAGAAACTTTTTTTCCTGGAACGAAATTTTAAATATCTGATCTCTCTCTTTGGAGGTAGAGAATTAAAGTGCATATAAAAGGCCCTATTAGGTATCCAGAGGATGTTAGCCCTTTTCAATGTAAGCAAAGAGGTGCATAAAAGTGTGAAATACAAGAAAGAACAGAAAGAATGAAACAACCTAAGTTGTGCCACAAACACATGAACTGATCTTCTGATAAAGAAAAAAAAAACCACATGGACAGTCAAGATATTATGTTCAAAAGTCCCCTGAAATAAAGAACAAAATTTAAGACTCCTTTATTTAGTGTATCCTATTTCCATAAATACTTTTCAATTTCCACAGTAAATTGTAGATTAGTAAATTATTTTGCAACTTCATGCAGCTTTTTTCTAAAATACATTAATTTTACAGACTTCCTGGAAAAGCATTTGAGTGCCTTATAAGTTCAGATACCATGGGATTGTTTAAAACTGCATGCTTTCTTCCTTCAACTTACATTCTAAAATGTATATATGTATATAAAATGTCATATATTCATGTGGCACATGAACACCTCACTTTCAGTTACACTTCATATTTCTTATGTCTCTTCCTTAAAAATAGTTTTTCTGTTTGGATAACAGATAAGCCACTTAGAGAAAATATGTTCTCTACATGTCAGAAGTAGAATCAAAAAGCTTTGAATTTGGTCCTCTTGGAACTTCGGTAATTCACATTTTGTAACAGCCAGTTTCCATTTCCATTATTCCTGACTGACCGATAGACTGACAGATGTCTTACTTTAGAGATCCCAAACAGACTATTGGTATCTATTTCAGCCACATCTGTTCCTAAATAGCCTTGGCAACAGGCCACTATGCACTCGGAATTAATTTTAAGTCCTTTATTGCTGACTCTTTCACTGTTGAAATACATCAGTGATTCTTTTTCCTTATTGCTGCACTTACATAGAATATCTGTAAATCTATATCTTAGATTAATAGCAACAAGAACTATAGCATACTATAGATAAGAATAGTATACTTATTACTGATTTCTTTAAATTCATTATAAAAATATATGTTTTTTATTTTATTCATTGTGAAATATATATTCAACAGTACATTAACCTCTGGATTGCTCCAAGATCTTATTTTCTTGTTCATTAATTAATTAATTTAGAAATTATGTTTAATTACTTAGACTTAAAAAGCAAGTTTTATCCAAATTATTACTATTATTATCCAAATAGTCAGCCCAGCCCACAAGCTGTTAGTCAGAGAATAACTTCATATTCAGTTTAGTACACTACACACACACAACAAATTACAATTATAAAGTTTATCAGGATGATCTAAATCCTCCAGGATTCACATTCTGGTAAAGCACTGGACAATTGCCAGTTTTGTTACATTTCCTACCTGTCAGAAATCTGCTGAAAAACTGCAATTATTGTTAATCAGGAAACTCTGCAGCAAACTTTAAAAACATGCTGGAGGCTTTAAAAATTATCAGAATTACAGTCTTTATTTAACAACAAAAAACCCATATGCATAAAGAGGATACAAATGATCTTCTGGGAACTTAGAAAAATCACATCTAATTTCAAATCTGTACTTAAGATAGTTTTCTCTGCTATAGTTTTGAAGCAGCACTCAATATGAGAACCTCCACAGTTCAGGGCTGGAATATCAATACAGAAGTCTTGCCTTTTTCTTAATTTCCGTGATTATAGCATAGGAATTCCACATAGAAAGAGGCTAGAGAAAAAAACTACCAACTACAGCCTGTGAGCTCTGTGTCTCATTGGGGCACCCCGTGCACTGTTAAAGCTAGCAAGCAGCTATGGGTCAAGGGGTCCTGCCTCCAGGGAGGAGAACAGGCTCAGCTGAGCTGCACACCCAGGCTGGAGCTGCAGCCTTTCCAAGGGGGCAGCTGAGCCGTGCCTCACACTTGTCCACATTCCCACCTGACACATTCTCTCCCTCAGGCTCCCCACCCAGTCACCTGCCCAAGACTCGCTTCTGCCATAAGCTCTGTGATAATAAATAACACACAAAATTCATAATGGGTCATGCTTATTTCAGAGTTAGGAACTTTGCTGTAGAGTGAACGGCAAAGGAAGCCATCAAAAGTCATCAGCAAGCACGGGTAGCCAAAAACCTCTTGGAGCCAGAGGCTGCAGAACTCGAGGACAGAGTAAAGAAGGAAGTTCTCCTGATAATCAGGCTGCCTAGAGCCCCTGGGAACAGCACAGTGGAGCAGAACTACACATCCATATATCCCTGTGACATGACTGGGCCCAGGCACAGCTGATGCCCCCTGCCTGGAGACTTTGAGCTGCAGCTTTGAGCTCTGGTGGAACCTGGAGGAGCCAAGGCTGCACAAACTACCACATGTAAGAACAAACAATCAGAACTGCAGAGCTGTGGATGACAAACGACAACTTCAGCAAGACAGGAATTCATCTGGAGAACTATGGGGGATGGGAGGTTAGGAAAATGGGAACAAAGCAACTACCCTATAGTTCTCTGATTTTGACAGACTGTAGCAATTACCATAGAAGAAAGGTCTTTCCCTAAAAGAGGAAGAATTACTACGTATGAGTCCAAGCAAGAGACATTCAGCAGTGCTTGCAAAGCGTGAAGACCTGGCTTGACCTCTTAGAGCCTCAGGCTTTTGGGTTGGAGAGAACATGCATAAGCCAAATCCCATTGGAGAGACTTGTCCAGAGATCCTTTAGTCATCTCTGAACACTCCACTGCTGTACTTATCTACAAATGAGACCCCACCACAGATGGCTCCTCCCAGCACCAGTACAGAACACCCCAGGGTAAGTGCTGCTGGGAGCCAAGAATGAGGGAAAGAAAAAACATTCAAGCTCCAGAATCCGTGTTTGACTGCTGCAACTGCAGCCTCTCAAAAATGAAACTATTCAGCAGCTCAATGCCACATAGTATAAAACCAAACTTTCAGAGAAAGAAGTTTCAGCATATATTTAATACATGTGCAGTAAAAGCCCAAATCCTGATAAAATTGGCAGCAGTTTGTCAGTGCTGCTTTCCATAGGATTCCTGAAGTACTGCCATCTGCTACCAGTCTGACTATAGGCACTGCTAACATCATTACCTTTCAGGAGCTCTGAAAAGTTTCTGATGTCTATATGAACATAGCAACTGAGAGGGGTGAATTTTTCCTAGGAAAACAAACAAACCAAACCAACCAAACAAAACAAAAAAAAGCCAAAAACACACAAATCCCAAAACACGGAATATACTTCCCATCTCTGGAAGCATAGAGCAATATACACCAAAATTTATTCTTCCTGTCTGAACCTTAATATCCTTCCCTGATGACAATTACAAGACAATTACAGACCCTAGTTCCTGATATATGGCAATTTAACCTACATTAAAGGAGGCAGAACATAAAGTGACAGTCATATTAGAGCTCTACACACAGAACTAAATAATTAATAAATCACACTACAGATCACATACACAGAGACCTGTAGATAGTCCCAAATGAGAAGGAAGAGAGCCTCCAGCACTAGCAGCATTACTTAAGGCACCCAGACTGGCTCCCCAAGAGGAAGGGCTGTGTCCCACACCGGGTGCAGGGGTGATCAGAACTCAGTGTCCAACTGCAAAGCGGGTATTTCAGTGTGAGTGCAGCACTGCATTAACACGGTCACACTGTGCACAGGAGAGGAGTCAGCAGCAGGGCATGACTTGTTCAGTTTCGGTAGCTCTGGGATCCCAACATGGTTACATTAAATGAACCATAATGACTTCACCTGCGAGCATCTGGCTACTTCTTTGCTTCTCTAAATGCTGACTCTGTGGCTATGAGATCTTACCTACAGGAACTTTTAAGTTCTGTCCCATACACTTCTGAAATAAACGTGGTATTTTAAGCCTGGACAAGGTAACCATGCCATCCCGGAAGGCAAACACGCTGCCTGGAAACTGCATTCCTGAATACAACTTTGATTTCTCTTTCACGTAAACACTGGGAGGTTACTGAAATAAACAAGAACGTTTAGGAGTGTGTATGCAGTTTTACAACTATATGTATGTTTCTACAGTTTCTAGGAAAAAGGTATCTATTTGGATACGTTCAAGCAGCATTCCTTTGCTTCTTAAACTTTTGTATATAATTTGTTTCGCTTGATCAAATCCTGTAACCACACTTTCTCAGTGTGTTGCCGTGTGAACACCATAGAGCAATGACGACCTGCAACAGAAGCTTCATCACAAAACTCAGGCACATCCTGCAAAACCATCCTCTCCTCTCTGTGCTCTAGTTTATGTACCTGCCAAAGAGTATAAGCCGGGAAAAGTTGATGCCGCAGAAACAAAATCAAATCCTCTTACTGCTCTGCCTGGGGCTAAAGAGGCCATAAAAACATGCTCTCTACCTTCTGTCCCTTTCGTATGAACCACCAAGAAGACAAGACACTTGCCAGAGAGAGATGGTTCAGGTACAAGACACTCAAAGCGTTATAAACAATTTCTTTTTCTCTTCAGTCAGCAGAGTAACCTCGAAGGGAACAGAGGTGCCCGACAGCACTGCCGTTAAGCATTTTACTGCAATCCCGGTTTAGGGTGACTGCCCCGCGCTGCCCGGAGAGCCCAGGCCGCCTCTCCCCGCGGGGACCCAGCTCGCCCCAGCCCGGGGCGGACCCCCTGCCCCGCCCTGCCCCGTCCCACCTGTGGGGCTCTCGGGCAGGATGGGGCTCCAGCGGAGCCGCCGGGCGCTCAGAACCACGTCGCAGCTCCTCTTGCCGATCTCGAAGATGCCCCTGAGGAGCGGCTCGTCCCCCGCCCGGGCCGGCAGGGCCGCGGCCAGCGGGGCCACCCTGCGCCGCCGCTCCTGGGGTGCGGCCCGGGCGCGGCCCGCCGGGCGGGGGAGCGGGGCGGCGGCGCCCGGCATGGCGGCAGCGGCACCCCCGCTCCGCTCCGGCCCCGCCGCACCGCCCGCGGCCCGCCGGGCCCAGCAGCGCCCGCCCCGCCCCGCAGGCGGGGCCGGACCGCCCGGGGGCCGGCCGGAGGGCGCCCGGCCCGGGCCGGAGCCGGGGCCGCGTCCTCGCCGGCACCGGGGCAGCAGCGCCCGTGCCCCGCCGGAGCGGCGAGACAGCGGGGCTCGGCTGCCGGGACAGCGCGGCCCCCCCGGCGCCGGGCAGAGCGCAGGGCGGCACCGGCAGGACCCGCGTCAGGGGCGCTGCCCGCGGGGAACTGCGGCCCGAAGGCGCTCGGGCGTCTCAGCGCTGTGCTCTCCTCAGTTACCTCTCCAAGGAAGGAACGCTCCCACTACAGAAATTAATTTTCCTTGTCAGAGTGCCAAGTCTTCCACTTTTCTGTTATCATTAACAATATTACTATTACCAAGCTTCAGAAAACTACCACATAAAGTTCTAATTAGCCCTTCCATACTAAAAAGGCTGAGTCTTTCACAAGTTGTGACTCTGACATAACCTTAATGTAAATACCACGTTGGCATTCCTGCTGCAAAACAGATTATTGCCATAAACCCGGGTGGAGGCATCATCCAGCTATAGCCTTTATTCATAGTGACCAAGCAAAACTGTGACTTGGAGTCTGCTAGTGACTTGTACTAGAACAGATCCGCTATCGAGTGGGCCAGTGCAGAAGGAATACCCAGAAGGGTTGCATAGTCATCCCTCATCCTCAAAGCCTGAATGCTAGGGAGGAAGACCACTTTACTCTTGTTCTATAAATTATAGGCTTCGCTGCTTGGAAATAAGACAGTTTTACTCACAGCTGCTGTAAGATTCACTGGTGACAATCATGTTAGAGTGCACGGCCAACTCCCATTTATAAGGTGCTTCTGAGCCTGTACATTTATAAAATTTTATAACACCATGGTGGCTTGCTAGGGTGTGAAAAGGATATTATTAAACAAAAAGTTCAGTAATTTTATCTTTAATGTTTGTCACAATACAAATGTAACTGTCCTCCTGAGAAATAAGCAATAGATTGAAAACATTGCCCTTTGCTGATGGATACAAGATACAGTTTAAGCCACATGTTAGAGTATCCTGTGATGTTTAGCCTTGTAGAAGAGAGTCAAACCAGCCAAGACCTCATAAGATGATGCATGTTCTCAAGGCATATTGCCTTCTTTCATAATTCCATAAAAACCAGTAACAAGCTACTTATTATGTAGCTGAGAAGACAGGTTTAAGACACATTTTAAAAAGCCATCATGGTACAACTTTTTGACACTTATTTCCATCTATTACTTTGCCACGTTTAAAGTATATTCCAAATATTTGTTAAATATGCAGCCTATTTTCAATTTGCATTGAGCCATCAATACAGCTTTTACTGAAATGCAACCATCACCAATTTGCCTTTCTGAATCACATGACCACATAAGGTTTATGTTTGCTTAAAACTTTCAGTAATTATTTTTATTTTTATTTTTATTTTGTCCCTTAGTTCTTCTTTGTTGGGATATAAATATCTCAACTGCAAAGTAGTCAGATAAAATAAGGTATAAATAATTGAAATTATGTGTAGAGTGTAGAAGTTTTGTGCAAAATATCTTTAAGCAAAAAAAAAAAAGAGTGATGAGGCGGGAAAACGTGTGAGCCAAACAAGCTTGCCTTAACATTTATCATTCTGATACAGCAGTAGATGAGCTAATTCAATTTGTGCCTATTATTTGGTGTCAGTGATCTTTAATGTGTTTGCACTGATGTCATTCAAAAGGAAAGCTAAATCATTAACTGGAAGATAAAGCATAATATGAAGCTAGATATAGTCAAATCTCTTTTGAGGCCATATGCCCTCTATAATTCCCTGCAGTCATTTGTATTTGTTTCTGGGACAGTTTATTAGCCTATACCACCTAGTGTATATTATATTACTACCAGATAATTTCTCCTAAGGTAAAGGAAAGGGTAAATTGATAACTGGCTTAGAACCCTAAAATAATAGTATTTTCAGTACTACCAGTGGGAAACTACTGCAATCCCTAAGAGACTTGTAATATCCTTTGACTGATGTAATTAAAACTTCTAACACCTTCTTATAGGCATTACTTGAAAAGTCTATTAAATCAGTAACAGTTAAGGTACTAAATGTATTAGATAAAAACATAAAATAGTAAGAGAACTCTACATAGTAACAAAACCCATAAAAGTCTCTTCATTGTGTTTTGCTGCTGTTCACAAATCCTCAGTGCCCACAATTCTTTGTAAATCTGAGACAGACGTTTTTTCCCTGGGGGGAAAGATTCCCAACAAATCTATTTTAACAGATCTTTATTTTTTTTAGTGACCACAAATTTCAGATTTGCACATTGAATTTGGAAATGCATGGAATAGTCCAGCAATATAATTTTATCAAGTTTTCTAGGCTATGTCTGGAACTCTCACACATAAAACTCCCTTTAACTTTCTTGTAAGAAATGGTTGTGTGTATGGATGATCTAATGTGGTATCTTCTGTTCTTGTATCAGAGAAAGAAGATGCAAGACAGCCAGTAGGAATTGTATAGCAGGCATTCAAGCAGCAACTGTACCTGAGCAAGGAAGTCAGGGAGGATGTTAGACTCCATCAAAGACCCAAATCGTCAGCCAGGTTTACAATGATCGGGCAGGTCTGGATCAGCAGGGTTCAGAGCCAGGTCAGCATTGTGGCTGAGCTGCAGACCAGCATCACACAGCATCTGGAACTGAAAAAGTTGTAGTCCCAGAAAGAACTTGAATAGAGCTCCAGGCTCATGTGTAGGGTCAGTGAGGGGGTTGCAGGTGGGGATGCTCAAGGTTTTTAAGGCTCATTGGTGGCTTCATGGGCCTTGCAGCCAGAAGAACAAGAGGAGGAATTCTGAGGAACAGTAGGAGCAGGCTGCTTCAAAAAGGAAATGGGGTTTAGAGTGATTACAAGTCAGGTGGCTTAGTTCAACAAGAGCCCAGACAGCCAGACAAGCCCCTTGTATCCAGGTAGGTCCAGCATCAAGCTGAAAAGCACAGTCACTAGGTCAGGTCAGGTGACAGTAGCCAGTGTCAGTGCTAGCCCAGCACCCACCAGGGAAGCTTGTGTTAGCAAGGCAGGTCCAAAGTCAGACAAGATTATTGAGTTTGTGGGTCAGGACCTGGATATGGCACAGACAGGGCTGCAATAAGATGAAGGCAGACACCATGCTTAAGAGCCTCTTCCAAACCACAGATCTTGCATGAAGGAGGGGACATCTCCCTTGTGGTGTCTTCAAGTTTGTTCTCAGCAGTCTGGACCCAGGGCAGGTTTTGTCCCAGGTCAGGGTGCTGGCCTTGAGCACAACCAGATGGACTAGAAGAGGGAAGCATCCTCTGGACCAAGAGGTAGAAGGAAACAAGGAGAGGAGCTAAGCCCTCCTTAACTAACTTTCTGGAAATCATCCCTTGCTCTCTAGATGCTAAGAAGTAGTGAGAGCCTCAGAACTCTTTTCCAGAAGAACCTTGTGAAGTGAAGAAAGAGGTATGACAACCTGTGACAGAAGTAGTGAGGGAAGTACAGCTAGCGTTAACTGAAGGACAGCAAGTGGGTAAAGCTTGCTGTTGGAAAATATGTCCTCCCACCTCAAAAAAAGTGTCTGTAAAAATGCAATGAGGTAACTAGGCCAGTCTTGGATTCATAAGAAATGTGATGTTCAAGTTAAGGAACAGGAATTTAGACCAGAAGCAATAAGGGGACACTCCGGGGAAAATATCCTCATTCTAGAGCTTTTGACTGAACATTTCTGGTAGCTGACTTGTTTTCTGTAGCTAATGGAGACTTCCTTCTGGAGAAACCTGAATTTTGAAGTTGGCAGCATACCCTTGGCTTGTATGTTTTTCTGGCTACAGTGTGTGTTTATACAATGAGAGTTTAGTGTATAGTCAGTTATAGTTCAGCTGTTAATTCACAGATATTAGCTCTCCTAAGTATGCTCCCTTCTTACATTTCTACTTTAGAAAATAATCTTTTGTAACTCTTAATATTAATTCAGCTCTCTTTAATTGGTTTACCATGAAGAAGTGACATTAAGCAGAATACCAAATTTTTGGCATGGTAAGCAAAGCCATAATTATACTGAAGGAAAATTATATAAATGGTCTATAGAAGAGAGCACTACTATTGCTATATATCTTCAAATTTTCAAAAGAAGTAAGGCCTTAATGAACAGAGAAAAAAAAAGTAGGTAAGGAAACAGACAAACCTTTGCAAAGAGAGCAGTGAAATTATAAGAAGCTGCAGAAATGCAGTCTGAAGTTGCAGCCATTCCTGATACTCCCATGAATTGAAATTAATCAGAACAATAGAGAAAAAAGTGGTATTAGGAAGAATATGAAATGAGAATGTGTTGATCAGAGTATATTGTCTTTTCTTTGCATTAAGGTTGGTACGCTATCTTTTTAAGGTAATTTTTTCCCTCTGAATCTTATTGTCTATTGCTCTGTCACAGTGTTGGTAAACATGTAAATATTAGTTGTTTCTATTTCATTTCATGCAAAATGCAGTGAACTCTATGCTGCAAACTACTACAAGCTAGAGAACTGAAAACTAGGGCTGATATTCTATGTTTTACATACCCTTTAGGCAACCTAAATACTTAAGAGAATGCTTTGAGAGCATTGTCAGTTTTAATCTTGTATTGCATAGCTTCTGACAGTTTGTTAAATACATATATGAATTATTTAAAAAACACTTATGTAGATATTAGTGTTTTTGTAGATCTTTGGTTCATTGTTTCAGTATGCATTTATGTACTATGTTTTTCAAGGATTTTTTATAATATGGGATTTTCAGCTAAGGGAAGAGTGTAGACCATTTATAATTTCTGAAATAATTACCGTACAACCCATCTTGGTCAATAAAAACAAAGACCAATTTCTGCATATTTTCCCTGATACAGCACCAGGCAGAACTCCAAGTTTCATTTCTGTTCTTCCTCAATAGAAATGAGTGAGAAATGAGTGGGTTTTGTTTGATTTTTTTAATCTTAAGGTACCTTTTATATATATAAAAGAGAATGAAATGTAACTCTGTAATTTTTAAAACTATTTGAAAGGATGGTTCTCTGAGCAGAAGTATTGTACTTTTTAAAAAAGAGACTCATGTTTTTAATATGTCAAAAGCAATTGGTAAGGTCATGGTGGATCTAGTTTTAATCAGTTACAATATTGAAATAATTGCAAGATTTCTTTACTGTTATAGCAGATAGAAAAGAATTGTTTTATTTGCTCTCAGTACATAATTTAGAATTATTTCTATTCATCCTTATTACCTCTGGAACTGCATGTTACTTTTCCATGTTAGTTTATTAATATTTAGTAACAGTATCTTTTGGAGAAAGTGGCTCTCTGTTTTCTTCTGGTGAATCCAGGAATCTTGGTTCTCCTTGAATCGACTTCCCTTCACCTGGAGACTCCTTCTGAGTGCACTGGGCCAAGGTCTGATGTTGTTCAGGTGCATTGTTCATTTGGGCTGGGTAAAACCAGAGGGTGCAGTCTCCCAGGCATCTTGTGGATGTAACCTGGAATTCCACCATTTCAGACTCCTCAGCTGTGTCTGTCACAGCCAACAATGGGTCCACAACCTCCACAGATCCTCTTCTGTTGTTCCAGAACACCAAGAAGGGAACAGTCATCACAAGTCGTGACTGTTTCTTGTGTACTGTACCTGCAGATTTAACCTCAAGCATGCACTGCTGGCAGAGCAACTTCTGCTGTCAGAAGTATGTCATAAAGAAGAAGGGAAAGGCCATTGGTCACAACCAGCCCTAAAAATAGAGTTTTAGGCCTGTGCTGGCTGACCCAGTGTGTGTGTGGGTACAAATCAACCCCAGAGTTGTCTCTGCATGTGGAAGTTGGATAATCCCACAACAGCCTTTGTTAATTAGTGATATGTTCATAGGACAGGAACAGTGTGAGTAATTCTTTCCATTAAAAGAGACCTTGATAGACCTTCCTGTGGGAGTCATGAGCAGAAATTTCAACATTTGGCTTGATGTTAATAATATGAGAGAAATATCATGGAGACATCAGAAGCATCAGCAAAGCGGGGGAGGGGGGAAGGTCTCCAGTATTTTATAAGGGTGGTGATAGGGAAAAAAACACCCAAAACTAATTGAAATAAGAAAACTCGCAAGTGATTTGTAAATTAGAGCCTCTAGTTACCAAAATGCCTAATTAATTTTCCTTATTAAATTGCTCATAACATTAAAACACTACTTTCTCTGAAGTATCACAGTAGCAAATACTGATAGCGTAGATAGATCTTTTAAGTAGGTTGCATTGGCAGGAAGAGTTGAATTTTGTTATTAACAGTGGAAAAAGAAAAGGTAATTGAAAAGGTTTCTTGTGCTTTGGAAATGCCTTCCAAATATTCATTAAACATTTAAGCAACTAAATTTGCAGAATATGTTCCTGACATTGGCACTGGTTCTGTGGTATTTCTCTCATCAGATGGAAGTACTGTGTGTTATGCAGAGTGCATTCATGCATAAACAATATCATTTTCATAAATTAAAACCTCCCCTGCAGAAGGAACATCTGTGCCTGCCTTTGAATAAAAGATGGTGGCATGTGAGTTGCCCCTTGACTGACTAGAAGAATCCTTGTATTTAGGAAGAAGGTGCACAACCAAAAGGCAAGCAAGCCTGGGTCAGCTTTTTCAATTTTATCTGAAAAATCGTCATTTATTTATACCCCTCAGGTTGCCTAGGGCACCCTTACCTGTATTGCCACTGGCTGGGAAAGGTTAATGGCTGCTTGAAAAGTTGCCTTTTGCTTTCTTTCATTTCAGATTCAGCAACAGTTTTCGAGTGTGGAGCTGCAGGCTCTGGCGAAATGCAGAGAGATGCTGCAAAATGCATCACTCGGCATCACAATTAAATTTTAGCATGTTTTAATGGGGAAGCCTGGCAGCAGGGGCTGCTGAACTGCTAGGACAGGTTTGCCGTGCTTATACGTTGGATTTCCGTAGCTACAAACACCTTTAAAATAGACGCCAGAAGCTTGATTTCTCTTGGGGAAAAAAATGCCCTCATCCATAGGAAAGCTTGTTTACTTTCTGCTTGGTTTAGCTGAAATATTTATGAAATACCCCTGCTTTGCGACAGGCTTCATGTAGAGTATTTCAGGTAACGTCTTAAATCTGTTTCTGATGGTCGGAGGCAAAGACCTGTTGATAATTATTCCTGGTCATTACGGGAATTGCTCTCCCGCAGGTTGTGTCTCCGGGTTTCTTAAACCTCAGAATAATCAGTGAAGATTAAAGGAATACGTTTCCCGTCTGGGAAGATGAAGGGACGATAAATCGATAGCGCGGGTCCAGGTCTGCCTTGCGGGGGGAAGGCGCACCTGCTGCCCAAGCGCCGGGGCCGAAGCGCCCGCTCCCGGTGTGCGGGTCCCGGCCGGGGCTGGCTGCGGACACCCGGGGGCTGGGGCCGGCTGCGGACACCCGGGGCTGGCTGCGGACACCCCGGGGCTGGGGCTGGCTGCGGACACCCCGGGCCGGCTGCGGACACCCCGGGGCTGGGGCCGGCTGCGGACACCCCCGGGCCGGCTGCGGACACCGCGGGGCCGGCGGGGAGAGCCGCGGGCGGCAGGGCCGGGCTGAGCCGCCCGGGCGGGTGCGGGAGCCCAGCGCAGCCCGCACCGGCAGCCGCAGCTCCCAGCGAACTGCGCTCCGGCCCCGCTCCCCTGATTCAACAAATCAGCATTGCAAATAGCCGGGTTCGCGGTAAACAAACGAACGCCGCCGCCCCCGCGACCCGAGTGCTTCTCAAGGTAAGTAAAGAATCCGTGTCCGTTTTTTTAGACCAATTTTATTCTACAAATAATAAGTGTTGCACCTTTCATGAGCTATCCGAATAAAACAATAATCCCATAGGAATTACTTACACTAAGAAAAAAAATCACATTTAAGGAAAAATGCAACATTCGACCAAATGTTCAATACTATGCTGTTGCCAAAGGATGGATGTTTTTTTTTTTTCTAAAATCCCAGTGTGCATTACACCATAATATACAGGATTACAAACAAAATTACAGTACAGATTTGATTCCAGTTGAACCAGCGTTACATTTCAAACAGCACTTATTCTGGACTGCATTGTACATGCAATAGCTATTGTTCTAATTACGGATTAAATGGTTTGAATTTGTTTCAAGCTACCGTACTAATCGACTACAATAGGTATATAGCCCGACTTTAACAACCTGATTAGATTTCGGTTCAGATTTATAAGATGAGCATATGACAACCACGGATTGTGTGAACATGTATAAAATCATGCATTTATAGCGCCTGGAAACATTAACATCTTCAAGTTATCTTAAAAAAAAAAACAAACCAAAACCAAAACAAACAAAAAATCCAACAAACCAAAAACCACGGAATGCCAAGGGGTTCAAAGACTAAAAAGAAACAGTGCAAATTGTATGTGATAGTCAAGCAGCTTTCGATTTAAAAAGGGTGTTGGCATTTGCTTATAATCTTTATATACAAGTTTGTGCAAGTAATGTGTTGAAATGATATGTTTTAATAGAAAATAAGTCTATCCTTCTTATATCTTCTCAAGACCTAGGGGATCTGGTTCTTATTGTACGGGGTAAAGGAAAAAGAAATAAAGAAAAAAGAAAAAGAATGGAAAAAGAGACTTGGATAGGAAAGAAATTGCCCGGATTGTGCATTTTTTTTTCTTCTTCATCTATTTGAAAAGGAAATAAGTGCTAAGGCAACATAACTTCTCTAAGCACTTTTCTGCTGGTTTAAATTAGTTAAATCATTTTGTATAAATTAGATATAATTCTACCTTTCCAATATGTATAAAAATTGATGAAGCTGCATGGTTTAAAATAGGAAATTCACGTTATAAAAAGTCATTAAAAATTCTGTACAAAATCACAACAAAATAATTCAGCATGGGAAAGGTAACAAGTAGTAAAACGTTGGTTGAAAAATATAGATTTCATATATATTTTGTAATTGGCCCATCGCTAGTTTAAAAATTGCATAGATCCTAATTATTGCTTGTGATTTTGTTATCCCGATCAGGTAATTGACGCGATCCCGATGCCCCTATCCCAATTTACAGCGTCGCTCCGCGGAGCGGCAGCAAGGACAGCGGGTGAGCGGGGGCCCGGGGCGGCGGCGGGACCCGCCGGGCCGCCCGCTGTAAACAAGGCGGTGGCGGGCGGCGGGCGCGGCTCCCGGCCCTCCCAGCGACGCGGGGAGGCTCAGTCGTGGAAGATGGCGTTGAGCTGGGCGCTGAGGACGCGCTCGTGGTGCGGGTGGCCCTCGTAGGGCGCCAGCCCGTCCACCGGGATCTCGCAGCGGGAGGCGGCGGGCGGGAAGATGGCGGCGTGGGCGGGCGCGGCGGCCAGCGCGGCGGCGGCGGCGGCGGCGGCGGGGTAGTGCATGGAGAAGGCGTAGCTCTTGTCGAAGTCGGCGGCCGGCTCGTGCTTGAAGGAGAAGTTGCCGTTCACGCTGAGGGGCGGGCTGAGCGGCCCGTCGAAGGCGGGGCTGGCGCCCTCCGCCAGCCCGCTCTCGAAGAAGGGCTCCAGCGCGGCGCCGTAGGCGTGCGGCGGCTTGAGGTGGAAGAGGTGGGAGCTGTCCATGGTGCCGTAGGGCGGGCTGGGCAGGCCCGGCGACTGGTAGGGGTAGGGATGCGCCGGGAAGGGCGCGCCCGCCGCCGCCGCCGCCACGTGCGGCGGCACCTCCTGGCTCTGCTCGGGGAGGAAAGTCCGCGGGTTGAGCTGCAGGCAGCCGGCCACCAAGTTGGTGGTGGGCTGCGACAGGCCCTTGCAGAGGGTCTGCACGAAGGACACCAGGTCCGGGCTCTTGCCCGAGCGGAGGATCTCGGAGAGCGCCCAGATGTAGTTCTTGGCCAGGCGCAGGGTCTCGATCTTGGAGAGCTTCTGCGTCTTGGAGTAGCAGGGCACCACCTTGCGCAGGTTGTCCAGGGCCGCGTTCAGCCCGTGCATGCGGTTGCGCTCCCGGGCGTTGGCCTTCATGCGCCGCAGCTTGAAGCGCTCCATGCGCGCCTTGGTCATCTTCTTCTTCTTGGGGCCCCGCCTCTTGGGCTTCTGGTCGTCGTCTTCCTCCTCCTCCTCTTCCTCCTCCTCTTCGTCCAAGTCGTCCTCCTCGTCCTCCTCCTCTCCGTTCCGCAGGGAGTCCTCCTCGGCCTCGGCGTGCAGACCCTCCAGGTCCTCCTCCTTCTTGTCCACCTCGTGCTCCTCGTCCTGGGAGCTGAGGCACTCGTCGGTCCAGCTCGGGGGGCCCTGCGGCTGGGGCTCGCCCATCAGCCCGCTCTCGCTGTACGACTTGGTCATGGTGAGCCTCTGCATGGCGGAGGAGACAGAAAAGAGACGTGTCAGCACCAGGAGCAGCGACCGTGGCCACCCGCGGGGAGAAGTTGCCCGCACTTCGCTCCCCGGTCCCGCCGCCCCCTCCCGAGGGAAGCCCTGGATTCCCCACCGTGCCAGGGCAAACTTTTAATTGTCTCCGCGTTTCTGCCTTGTAATTAAGTTGACATATGTTCAAATACCATTATGTAACTCGCCGATATTAGCGGGGAATATAAGCAGATTATGCGTGCGGGAGCCAGCCCGGGCGGCACGAAGCAAGCGGACCAAGCGTGGGTTGTTTTGTTTTGTTTTGCTTCGGAAAAAAAATCCTCAGACATTTTTACCGAATAAGGGAAGGGAGAAGGAGGACACATGCACACACAGGGCACCTGCAGGGACGGATGGCGCCTGTGACGCCTGTCCCCGCCGCTCTCCGCGGTTCCCCCTTGCCGCCTCCTTGCGTGGGGCTTGTGCCGCCCCAGCGGGCACCGAGCACCTGCTCCCCGGTGCCGCCTTCGTCCGCAGGACTGTCACTGGGCTGCGCGGCCCCTGCCCTGCCCCTGCCCCTGCGGTAACAGGTGCGGGACTGGCCCCGGCTTCCCGTCTCCGTCGTCCCCTCTGTTGCAAACGAGCATCGGTTCCCCGCTTCTCGTGCGGGGTTGCGATCGCTCCCCGGTAGCGTCGGGCACACCGGGAAGGAACAATGCCGCACGGCCGCCGGGGCACAGCCTGCGCTGGGACCGCGGCGATCGCGCTCCGCGGAGGAAGGGGAGCCGAAAGTTCGGAGGTGCATCGATGGAAGCACATTAACATATGTAATATGCGTCTGTACAAACGGATTTAAATGTGTGCATGGACGCACATACACATTTACATATATACATATATAAATGTATTCACACACGTACGTGTGTATGGATGGATACAGGTGTGCCCGCACACACCAGCAGGAACGACCGCAAGCGACAATAAAATCTGAAGCCGTTCCGGCAGAGGTATATCCCGTCCGCCCCGACGTCGCAGGGTCCTCTCCCACCCCGGCAGCCGCCGCGAACCCTTTTCCCGCGGGGGTAAAACACGGTTTCCCGTTACCTCCGTCGCTCAGCCTCTCCTGCGCGGTGACGGTCTCATAACCCCGGCACAGCTCTCCGTGCGAGGGCGCCGCGCGTGTGTGCGAGTGGCGTTTATTTCCCGAGGTTGCCCGGCGCCGGGCTCCCCCCGTTATATAGCGGGACGGAGGATGCGCGCCGGGGGGCCGGCACCGGGACCCGGGCCGCGCGCGCCCGCCGCGCCCCGCGCGCCTGCGCCCCGCCCCGCGCCCCGCCCCGCCCGGTGGCACGCGCCATATGGCCGCCCACGTCAGGCGCGCGGCGCCCCCCCCACGTGACGCCCCTTATTTGTATGCGGCCGCGCGCCCGCCCGCGGGGCCGCCACGCCCGCGCTGACCCGCGGGCCGCGCCATCTGTCACCAATGCCACCGCCGCCACCACCGCCGCCACCGCGCCGCTCCGCACCGCTCCGCGCCCGCCGCCGCCCTGCCGCCGGCCCGCGGAGCCCCATTGTTCCCATTGTTCTGGGGTGCGGCCACCGAAGGTTCCCGCCGCCCCCCCCGTTACATCTCCTCACGCGCGCCTCTGGCCACCCGAGACTCCCGGTCCCCGTCCTTGTCGCTCTCTGGCCGCCACAGGCCCCCTCCTCTTTCCCCGGTTTGCGCCGGTGTTGTGGAAAACGGACATCCCGGGGCTGTGACACACACACACGCACACACACACACACACACACCTGCCGCTGTGTCCTAACGCCTGGAGTAAGCGCCGGCTCGCTTTTCCCGGGTTTTCGGGGGGAATACTGCCGGTTAACGGAAAGTTTGGAAGAAAGACGCCGAGTGGGGCGGCTTTAGAGTCTCTAAACGTCTCGGCGGAGTTTGCAAACGCCGCCAAACCTTAGGGATGCGTTTTGAGGAGGGATGTAACCCCCTCGCATGATAGCTGTGCTACCGGCACGCGTTATCCGGATATTTATTCAATAAAAATAAAATTATTTTCACCTCTTGAGCCTTAAATGCGAAACAAATCGTTCCGCCCTGAGGAGATGGATTTGCAAGATAATTTTCCAGGTCGGGTTATTTCTAAAATGTTTCTCTCCTGTTGGTGACCTACATAGCCCGGGGCAGCAGGAGGGGACTCCGGGGATGTTCGCCTTCTCGGTAATCAAATACAGAGGGCAACCGGCTACTTTTTGTTGTGTGGAATTTGGCCGGTTCCCGGTGGGAAGCGAGGGCCAGCAGCGCGGTGTGTGCCACCAGGTCCGGCGGCTGCGGCTGGAGCGGGGCGCCCTCGGGTCCCCGCGGCTGCGGCCCTTCCCTGGGGCACAGCGGGGAGGGAAGCGCCGGCGCCGAGCCTCCGATGGATGGCCCTGCCATGGCGAGCCTGCTCCGGCCACAGAGGCGCCCCCGGGCCGGGGTCCGGACCATGCCCGTACCCTGGGCGGCCGGGCCGGGCCTCCCGCCGGGCCGGCAGCCCCCGAGAGAGCGCGACCCCATAAACGGGAGCTGCTGGGGCGGCCGCGCTGCTGGAACGGACGAGTTTTGGAGGTTCGAACAGGTTTGGAAAGCGCAGGAAAGAGATGTGTCTGGTCCAGCCCTGTCTAGATTACTGGAAAATGTTCCTTTGAATGGGTCTGTCTGGGAATACACCCGGGAATTTGGGGCGCTGGGGAAACACTAGGCAAGAATATTGGGAGGAGGGCACAGGCAGAAAACTGCATCTCGGGGAGCGGTGAGAACTTTGGGGTGCTCATGTGCTTCTGAGTGTGATGAACACAGTCATCCTCCCTGGGAGCAAGATAAAATCAACACGTTGTCGATTGGCAGGTAACTAAAGAGACAAATAAAGAAGCGGGCAGTCGGACAGAGGGGCTTAAACCCGCCGAGCCCGGCTCGTCCCGTCCCGGTCGGTGACTGACGAGGGTGCCGGTGGCCGTGGAGGAGCCGGGCCCGCAGGTACGAGGCGCTGCTCCGGTGCCGCCCGTCGGGGCCGGGGACGAGCGCTGCGCTGCGGGGGCGCCGGGGCTCTCTGCCGTCGTTCCGCCTTCCTTCATCCTTCCCGCTCTTCCCGCGGCTTCGGCACTGCTTCTCCTCCCGCTCTCGCAGGCGGCCGGCTCTGCCTCCCCTACTCGGGCCGTCCCTTGGCTCAACGGCTCCAGTTTCCCACCTTCCCTGTTCCTCCTCTTCCCCCAGCCGCTTGATTTTATCGCTCCAAGCGTGCCTATTTTTTTCTCCCTGACCTACAGACTCCTCCTTCTCCATCTGGCTTCTAATTCGGCTTCTGTTTATTTTTCCTCCCGAATCCTTTGATTTTCTTTTCTCTCCCTATTGTTTTTTAATGATTTAAAATTTTTTTTCCTTTTGTCTTTTCTTTTCCTTTCCCCTTTCTTTTTCTTTTTCTTTTTTTTTTTCTTTTCCTTCCCTTTTCCTTTTCTTTTTCCTTTCTGCCCTCCATCCCTCCCTCCCTCCCTCCCTAGCTGGCTTCCCGCCCCCCTCCCCTCCTCCCGCGGCGCGGCACGCGAACCGCACGCGTCCCAACAAAGCTCCGTCCGTCCGTCCGTCCGTCCGGCCGCCTCCGCTCCCGCCTCAGCTGCCGCCTCCGGGCCCTGGCAGGAGGCGCTCCCGGGGCCGCCGCTGGGGCCGAGCCCTGTCCCAGCCGGGCGGGAGGGGGGCTCGCTGCGGGGGGAGGCAGCGCTCTGGAAACGCCTTACAGTTGTCCGGAGCGCGAAATCCGCTCCCGATGAAATCTCTTGGGTTTGCGGCATTATCTTAATTAAGATAATTGATTCATATTGCACCTGCGAGAGTGCGGGGAAAAGATGCCTCCCCAAATAGCTTGGAGCTATTGGAGAGAGGAAGCCGCGCTTATAATTGAGCGAATGATTTACTGCCCGGGTAGCCCGGGCTGCTCGGGCTCTCCTTTCGCTGCCAGGTTTCCCGTTCTCCCTCTCCAGAGAGGCACACACGCAAAACAAGAAGGTTATCCTGATTCAAAAAACAGAGACGGGAAAACGTCTCTCCCCGCTGTCCCTGTCCGTCTGTCCCTCCCCACCGCATGGCACCGCGGGGATCGGGCTCGGAAGGGCCGGCTCGGGTCTGCCCGCGGTGCTGCCCCGCTCGCCCGCTCCCAAAGGCCGCGGCGAGAGGAGGGACGGGAGGGGAGGGCAGCCCCACCGCCCGGATCACCCCGAGCCGTGCCCGTCCTGCCCCGGCTGCCGTGGCTCGGGAATCACCGAGGGAGAACAGCGCCCTGAATGGAGCCGCTCCGGTACCGGTGCGGGGCCACCGGGGTGAGACCGCTCCGCACTTCGGAGCGTCTCTCCAGGATACAGTGTACATCTGGGCTCCAAAAATGGTACGGCTGATTAAGGTGCCTTTTCTGCTCTTTCCCCCCTTAAAACTCAGTGTATTAATGTTATTGAGCCTTTCCCTGCTAGATAAATGCTGTTGTTATTTTAATTCTATAAATGTAAACTTCTATTTAGTTAATGGAAAATACATCACCACCAAGGTTTAATTATCATCTTTTTAAATTACTCTTTTAGTCAAGTGCACACAATTATGAAATAACAATAGATTTAAAATATAATTCAAATTGATTAAAAAAAACAAATCAGAGAAGTACGTACCATTAAAGCAAATGTCTAAATTGTATTGGTAGGCCTGCTACCTCCTGAGCTACAGTTTAAATAGCGTCAGCTCTCTGCTATCGGTGTCAAACCACCTCTGTTATTAGGAAAAAGCATTCTTATCAGAAGGGATTTAGATGCTGTTGTAACTGCAAAACCTAATTATTTTTGATCCAGGCATTTACCCCCAGAGTCCCACCTTGTTTAAATAAAGTGTTTTCTTTCCTCCTGAACAAATGCATTTCCATTTGAATTAAATATTGATAATTTGACCTTTTAGTTCCTTTAACTAATCAAAAGGAAAAAAAATCCAAATGTAGATCCTA